TTCTGCCACGTGTCATCCTCTTTTTAAAAGAAAACAAATTCTTATCCGGAGAAACAAAAGTTACTTTACGAAAATAGCTACACAATTTTAACTCCTAACATTTATCATTTATCAATCAAATTAAAATAACATTTAAATTTGTCCATAAACTTATCCCCTTTATTACTCCACATTCTTTTGTATGATTTCTGCATCGTTGTACTTTTCAATATTTTTTTTCCTTTAGCAGATGATTTTTTATTTTTATTTTTATTTTTGGCTAAAAAAAGAAAAAAAACCAAATGTGTAGCTATTTTATTTTTTCCAAATCAAAAATTTATTTATCTATTAACATAAATTTAAAGCAGAGGGGCACCCAGGCTGCCTGGGCCAAGCATCTAGTTAATTTTTATTTTATTATGCGTAACAAATTTAATAATTTTGTTCAAATTTTTTTTTAAAAATTGGTAATTTTGTTAAACTAACCTCCGCATCTGTGACGCCCAAACGAATACCTCCCTAGTTTAATCTAAGACAGAAGGTGCTAATTCGAACGTCCACCTAGCTCACGCCAGGCTTAATTCCAATAACTCAATATCTCAAATTTTTCAAACTTATATTTTCAAATCCTTTTGATAAAACCCAGACTTTATGTTTCTTTACATAGAGAAAACTTCATTCTATTTGAACATTAAAAAACCAACTGCAGAATAAGGCCACTATTGAAGATAAATACTGACATTGCTAGACCAAACCGGAGAGGACTAATTAATTCATATGTGGTCTTAACTACGTTACATACAACTTAACTACTAGAATTATATACAACGGCCTTCCACACACACGTTTATGTGGCTGCCTTCGAAAGACGTTCCTAGCTCATAGGCTTGCAGCTTCTGCAATCCTGGGAGGGAACAATAATATATATTCGTATAGAGTGAGCACCATGCCCAGGGAGATACCCCTAGTAGTACTACTAGATGCATTTAATATATAATTTCAAAAGTAAAACTCAAATTTCGATAAAATAATCAATCAGGAACAAAGATTGCATTCACACTTCACTCTTCATAGCATTAAACAATTTCCATTCAAGCATTAGACATTTTCAATTGGGTGGATACAGGGAATCATAGCAAGGAGTTGTTAAGCGCCTATGTGGCACAAAAACGGGATCCCAAACCAGATTCAACTCTTACCATTGGCGTTGTCGTTTCACTTCACTGCAACATTAACATTGTGTGGCCAACACTAGCGCCACCATCAGAACATTATATCCCCTGTGGCCAACATTACCGCACCACTAGATACTCATGAGTTCCACATTCACTAGCCGAGGCGGTTAACCTTAGCATCCAAGCCCAAAGCCGGCATGCAAGGCTTCGCACAAACCAAGGCAATGGGCCCAGGCTTCGAGCAACGTTAGTCACTTGAGCAACAAACACACATTGGCATTCAATCATTCAATACAATCATTCGTTACATTTCATTAGCATTTCATTTCATTGGGGTGATAAATTACACCCAAGATGTCATTTTCCTTTTATTACTCTGCACATTGTCACAATCAGTCACATTTTCAATTAAGCACATAATAACACATATAACTGTCTACCACGGAATCATACAATCACATTCAATACAGTCTATCACATTAACTCATCACATTAGCGCATAACCATACTCTACTACCACTTTTAGCACTCAGTCACTAACATTACTATCACATGAACACACAATCACAATCAGATAATTAGCATTTGTAAAACATTTACATGTGTATAACAAGTATTCTATAGCAATGAAGTACGCTTCCGGATCAGATAGTAGCATCCATTTATAGTTTCCAACAAGAGTTAAAACGTGCTGATGTGAGGTAGAGTGTCATTTAAAAATAGTTCCGCTCCCGGTTTTGGAAAATAACTTTGAAAATAGTGAGGATAACTCACAAATATTATAAAGAATCATGTCGCCCTCGTGTACTTGACCTGCAGGTCAATAAATACGAATATAAGAATTGCATAGTTTAGCTACTGTTTTATTTTTCCAAAATCAACTAAAGATCAACAAACAGAGCTAAACTAAGCCTTAGTTTTATTCTCTTAAAAGCTTTACACCCCCAGCTCACCTTTGTACCCTCTCTTTTCATTCTCTAAAATCTGATCACAGACCATTTTCCTTTCCCCTTCCCACAGCACAAACCAACAAATAGCAACAAAACGACGGCATGATCAATAACAAGACAGAAAAGCCACAAACACCATATTTGTTCTGTTTTCCTCATTTAATAAAATCTGAAATATTTTTTAATTGCTCTATTCCTTCATCCACAAAACCTAATTCAAAGATGCTAGACTGGAAAGCTTAATACCAAACAACTGACGATTAACAACCTTAATACTTTTAACATGCAAGTTAATATCATTCTATCGAAAAAACGATATGACAAGAAGAACCAGCCACCCTCTTTCATTCCCCCTCTGTTTTTCGGCCATAGGCCTCAATCCTTAAGCCTCGATTTCATTAAAATCATTAGGACAAGACAAATCTTAAACCACTGGAAAGAGAGAGATCAAATAACTAATCAAATAATAAAAAGGCGAGCTTCTCATGCAACCCGGGACGATCCGTTAATAGTTTCTCTAATCCAATTTATTATTTCTAACACTGATTAAACACCCAAAACTGATATTCAACTCAACGATATGCATCTGGGAAGTAACTAAAAGATTTAAAAGCTGGAACCAATTCACCTTGCTAATTCTTCAATTTCCCTCTTTCCCTTTTCTCTTTCCCGTCGCCTCTTCCCTTCCTAATTTGATCAAGCCTCATGTTTCATTTCTTCCTTTATTTATTAGATAATCTTTGATTTTGGTGAAGTGAAAATCAGAAGAGTTGAGGGGTGTAAATTTTGATGTGTGCGTGAGAGGAGAATGAGAAGAGGAGAGGGAGAGAGGAAGTTAGGCGATGGAGCAATAGGGTGGAATTAAAAGTGCAGGTTTTCTCTTTTTTTTTTCCTTTTTTTTTTTGACGCTTTAAAGTGAAAGAAATGAATTTAAAAAGTTGAAGCCTATCCCTCCATTTTAAGTCGGTTAATTGAGAATATCAACAAATTAAAGGAAAGGGTTCTGGATAATTTCCGGAGCAAAAAGATATTATTTAAAAAAACAAGGTGAAGCTTCGATGTTTATCTAGTCAGTTTAGAGACGCACTAGAAGTAAGATTTTGGACTTTAAAATATTTGCTGGAACAGTTTAAATAGAAAGAAGAGAACTAAACTTATTAAGTACAATAGAATTGATTAGTATCCATAAAGGAAAAAACAAAAGAGCCAGATTTAACAAAATAGAAAGGGAACTTGTTCGATTTAATGTATGAGATTTAACAAAAGCTGTTGCACATACTTACACAGTCAGAATCATTGATAATCGAATGGTTGAAAGTAAAGTTGTTTTCTGATTCAAAATCTCAATTGCCTTTCTTCTTCAAAGATGGTCTAAATCTGTGGCGATAGGCATCGCTTCAAAATTTCAGTCATCGGTTTATTAATCTCCAACGGCTACCTTGTGTAACTTTTTTGTTTCTCATGTTAAATTATTAGAGGTGGTTCTTGTTATTTTGATCATTGTTTCATTCCCAATAATAATCAACTAAATGTTATTGTTTACTCTTACGTCTGTTTGGACAACAAATAGAGTATAATGCAAGATTCATGAGGTACATTGGTTTTTTCTCCTTACTTACAATCAATATACCCTATATCCTTCCCATTGTGCACAATCTATAACTAATTTCTGTCGGTAGTTGTTCCTTTGTATTTTTTATTACAAACAGGGTCTATTGTATTGCTGAATCTTGTAGTGGAAAATTAGGTCTACCGTGTTTCATCTGATTTTTTTGATTAGATTAAATGAATCTTTTTTTTTTTAATAAATTGACGGTCATTGTCTGATCTTATTGATGAAAATAAGAAAGATATGCAATTGTGTTACAAGTTTAAGGAAACTATCTTACAAATATTCATACTTAAGTCTAGGTGATTTCTTACGAGCAGAAGAAGATTATAATAAAAATATTCTTAGACTCTATCTAATGCAGAAATAAGGCATGGGTCATTATCTAAGTATAATGGCCAGATTGCATTGTTTGAGAATTGGAAGGTAAACATGCAAGGCAATCCACCACACCATTTATTTCTCTGTAGATATGAGTTACAGGGTAGAAGCAATGTTGAATAAGTGATGAAATTTCTGATAGCTTGAAGACCAATTTCCATAGGAAATCATGCCCTTTCCTAATCATATCCACTAATATTTTGTGATCTGTTTGCACAAGGTCATTTAATAAACCCATTCCTTCACAATGATCTAACCCTAGGATACCTTGAGCTTCTCTGTGGGAGTTAACAAAATCTGAATGCTTTGGGCTTGTAATTCAACTGATGGACATTGCCTGAAAATTTTTTCAAGCGATGTCCACAGGATTTGCAGTCCAAAATAGCTTTATAAAAATTATATTTTTAAAACATTATAGTTCCCCATAGAGTTATTGGATGTTCCATCAGTGTCATTGAGCGACACTAATTCATGTGTTTGCTGATAATTTTGATGCTTATGTAAGCTTTTACTACTCTTCCATTGCGTTTGTTGAAATCACATGACAATCCAGTTTGTTCCACATCAATGCATGGAAGAAATAGAATCACCTTATAAGTGGAAATGACTCAAATGCCATTGGCATAAACTTTTGAGCCTAAGTTCGGCCTTTTATCCTTATTGGCTTCCATTTGGGTTTCTCTCCCAAGGTTTTATCTCAAAAAATTTTCACATTAAATCTTCGATATAAATCAGACATCTATGAATGAATATGGTAATAGTTGTTCTTAAAGTTGGGCGTAATAATGGAATCTATATTGTTTGATCTCTGAATTTTGTTCTTCTAATGTGAGAGTAACAATGACTTGGGTATATTAACTAGAACTTGAAGGATTCATTACCGAAATTTCAATTTACTAACCAACAAGTTTGTTCAACTTTTACATGCGAGAGGAATAAAAGAATTATTTTTAGAGAGAAAATACTATTACTCCTTCTGTTCCCAAAAAATAGTTCACATTCACTTTTCATATTAGTACAAATATGAAAACTCAATACGAATTATCTTTTAGAACATAGGTAATATTATTCAAAATTATTCAATTTACAGCAAAGGATTTCTGAGGACAGGAATCAAATGAAGATTATGCTTTCTTTTCACAACAAGTCCAGCGGCTTCCGTCATATCTAACTCTTCTGGTTTTATTCCGTTTGGTAGATACCAATCAAAATGATATAACAACTTTGCCAAATGAAGTTCAACATTTGCAATTCCGAATTGAACACCGGCACAAATTCTTCTTCCAGCACCAAATGGTATATATTCGAAACTCGCCCCTTTGTAATAATCAACTGATGAGCAATCAAGAAGGAATCTCTCAGGATAAAATGTATCCGCATCTTTCCAATACAAAGGGTCTCTATTGATGGCCCAGACATTCACGAACACTTTGGACTTGGCAGGTATTTCATAACTGCCGATTTTACATTGCTCGTTGCTCTGTCTGATGATTAGAGGACCTGCTGGATGTAACCTCAGTGTCTCTCTTATGATTGATTTTAGGTATTTTAGTTTATCGAAACTCTCCTCATCGACTTCTCCTTTGTCTTTAAAAACTTGTCTTACTTCCTCCTGTGCCTTTTCCATGATTCTTGGATTCTTCATCATCTCTGACATCGCCCAATCTATCGTAGCGACCGACGAGTCCGTCCCGGCAAAGTAAACATCCTGTCAATGCCCATTATTTTTTTTTTTGTCGAAAAAGGTGAAATTCATAATTCTATAGAGATATTAAGCACACAAATTAATTCAATTTTTAAAACCGCGCCGGAATGTGAACTAGCAACCTACGTAAGTCACTAGGTTGACCAGTTCATCCAGTTTGCTGGTCCTTGAAACTAGTGATAAAAAATTATTACTCTCATTGTACCAAAATACATTTTCTATTGGATTTTCATTTTGAGTACAATTTGTATCAAAATGAATATCGAAATTGGTTAGGAGAGAGCATAAAAGGATTAATTCCTCTATTTCGAAACCATTGTGTAATTTGGATTTCATTTTTAGTACGATTTGTACTAAAAGTGAAAGTCCAAACTGAACGATTAGTTTCTAGACAGAGGAGTAAACAAGATAGAACCGGTCCAATCAGTGTTGGTCCGACTTTTAAAAACCAAAAGGATCTGGTCCTTGTTTGACTTCCTTGTCTAGTCCGATCCGGTCTGGGTTATATCAAAAGATAAAGATTGCAAATGCAAAAGGAAAATAACTTCACGCATTGTCGCATACAAAAAAAAAAAAAAAGAAAAGAAAAAATCAGAGAAGGATGGATGACTAACCAAAAGCACTGTCTTAATGCTATCAAGGGTGAGAGAAAATTCATGATTCTCGGCTTCCTCGTACTCCAACAGAACATCGACGAGATCCTTTTGGGCATTTTTTTCAGGATTATTATCTCCAGCTGCAGCCTCCTTGTGCTCTTTGATGATGGTAGTGAGGATGCTGTCTATCTTCTTATGAATCCCCTCCAACCTAGCCTTCATCCCAGTAACCACGCAAACAAACTTGAACGAAGGAAACATATCGGCTACGTTAAACCCGGCGGCCAACACGGCGATCTCCTGGATTTTGGATATGAACGCTTCTTGTTCAGGACTTTTCTTCCCAAAAGCCACCCTGGCGGTGGTGCTGTAAACGGACGAAGCCACGTCCGCGGTAAGGTTTACCGGCAAAGAAGAAGAACCGCCTTCCGCCATCCGTCTCATCAGATTCGAGGTTTCTTCCTCCCTGATGAACCGAAACGACCTCACCCTACGGATGCTTAAGAGCTCGAGCACGCAGATTTTGCGGAGTTGCCTCCACATCTCTCCGTAGGGAGAGAAAATAATGTTTGGTGCTTTCCGAGTCATTACCTCGGACACACTGTTAAGTGGCCTGGAGGCAAAGTTGATGTCATGAGTTTGCAATATTTCTTTCGCGGTCTCCGGGGAGGAAACCAGAATGGTGGGAACTTCACCCATTTGGAAGTGCATGACTGGGCCGTATTTCTTGGCCAACTCGGCCAAGGCTTGGTGAGGCGGCCGGGAGCCGATGATGTGATATAAGTTTCCGATGAGTGGTAATTTCCATGGCCCTGGAGGAAGATTACACCCGGAGTTCTTGTTGGTTCTCAGTTTTATTCCTAACTTGACAACCAAAAGGGTAAACAAGATGGTCAGAAGGAGAGATGGGAAATCAACAACATCCATTATTGGTGAGTACCTAGCGATCATGAGATAGTATTATTTGCGTTTTATATAGAGAAGATAGCGAGGGTGATAATAATGGAATAGGCAAATTCTTCTATGCTCCCTGATCCAACGGTAGATCCTCATCATAAAAAATTTGATGAGACATTTTCTTTTTCCCTTTGTTTTTGTATAACGGTAAATTATGTGGGGTGATTCTGTAAATTTTCAAAACAGAATTTGAAAAAATTATAAGTGCTAAATATTTTTTTCGAGTGGTGGGAATATTAGGTGATGGGCCGTCGCGACAAATCAATAATTACGGATTAAGTAAGTGATGTTATCTTTCTGTTCTTTTGTATTTTGTTTTTTATTTTTTTGTTTTTCTTCTGGGTTGGTTTAACTTGAACCACTATCTAAAGTGCCTTACGTAATAGGACCATACTAGAGAATTGTTTGTGGAAAGAGCAAGTTAGGAAAGGAACAAAACAGAGTTGTTAGCCAAAGAGAGTAATGAAAGTTATTAATTTATCTTAGGCTTGCGATTCTGCCAAAATAGTTTGTAGCATCCAAAACAAACTTTTATAATTTTAACAAAATTGCCCTTATATTAGTCAACTAGCTATCCTCTCATCTCCTTTGATTCCACGGTTCTAATTAATTTCTTTTTAAAAAAATTGAAAAATAATTACCTCCCTTGATGACTCTCAAATATTCATTTATTTTCTTCACAAACTCTCCCACTCAACAACTTTACGAACTTTTTTTCCTACTCTAAAGCTGGTGTACATGGTTATAAGATCATATAAATCAATTCTAAGTATGCAAATTAAACCAAAAAAATTCAAGAAATAGTAACTCAAAGATTTATCAAACACTTGTTGTTCATGGAACAAATCCCAATAACATTCGAACCAGAATTTTCTTTGCCCCTCCAACAACCAAATTAGACATCAATTTTGAACAACATGAGACAAAGAGTTTACACAGTTTATTAAAAGAACATTAATGGAGGTTCAAATCCCAATTCTAAGGAAAACAAAAACCACTTTCTTTTACATTGAGATAATAAATATATACTCCCACTCTGTTTGATTGAGATAGAAAAAGAGGAGAAAAACTCACTCTACTTTGTATATGAAGGAAAAAAAAATAGTATTCCAAGAAGCATGATTAAGGATTTACGGGAAAGGTCAGGAGTAAAGAATAGGAGTGAATTGGATGCAATCAAACTTTTCCATGATGAAGTTAACATTAGTAAGTAGAACGCCCTAGTTGTTGGTTTTTTTCCTTCTTTTTTTAGGTTTTGAAGAAGGAGAAAAAAGATTTACAAAGAAATGAAAACAACAGCTAATAAGTTTAGAAAGAGAAAGAAGAAAGTAATTAATTGGCATGAGATCAGGAGATGAGAAAATACCCAGCTGATAATTTTGGAAAAATATGAGAAATTTGTCTTGGATGCTAAAAACTGTTCTGGCAGAATCGCAAGCCATTATCTTATAATAATCTATTAACTTTTTCAATTTTGGCTTTTGTTTTCATAAATTGAACTTTTGTTATATCTACAGTATAACTTTCTTACGCATCGAAATATCGAATTTGTTAGAACAAAGAATTCTCATGTGTTGAGAATGATCGGTCACATATGTGTAATTTTTTGAGTCGTTGCACTCATTATCAATTAGTTTTGAGATAAGATGTCAAATGAAGTCAACAAAATTATTTGCAGAGATTTTTAACTCATTCCACTTTTTTTTTAAATGGATTTTTTCCCCCCATAATTCCTTCTCTTATCCATATCTTTGATTTAGTATTTTTGTTAGCTAAAAACACACACACATACACACAACATTGGGATTGCAATCTTCAACTTTAACGAGTTCTGCACACCGAAATTTCATTAATTAAACAAAATAGCTAGCACTTAACTGAACTTCGATATTATTGGATCTTGTTGCTGTGATATACCTTTGATATCTCTCTGGAATGGATTTTGATTTGTATGGTCTTCATGTGCTCGCGCTAGATAGCCTCACAAACTATATTAATATTCCTTTTGTATGTATATGCTAGGTGGGTTAACATGTACTCCATGGAATGCCAAACGGTAATCAATTCTCCATGAAAGTTTTCGATATTTTTTTAATCATTAAATAGGGCAAAGAATACTTCCAATCATCTTTCTATTTCAAAATAATTATCAAATTTGAATTTTTATTTTTAGTTCAAGTTATATGAAAAAAAAAAATCAAAAGGAATATTAATATAGTTTGTGAGTGTAATAGCATCTTGTTCTCATGCATGGCTTGATTTTTTCCCCGGGTGCATCTTAAGCCTTAACAACTCTATTTCTAAGTATGGCTATACATACATACATATATATATATACATACATATATATATATATATATTGTGAATCATGTGTCTATAATCTAAATTGTCTTCATATAACTGTATAAAACCCCAAATGAATAAAATATATAAATAAAGAGAAGTGAATTAATTCACGTTATTCCTTCCCATTTTTCCTTATGAATTATTCCATGTATCATTATTCTTCTAAGTTTTAAACATCTATACACTCATAGGGAAGCCATCCATCATCAAAATATTCAATTCATATGCTGTGATAATCTGTATATCACGCGAATTCGGTACTTCTAAAGTTTGGATTGTTTTTTAGTGTGTGTTTTTAGGTGTTTTTTTTTTAATATTGAAAATGTAAAAAAATACATGTGAAATGTAAAAAAATATACTGCGATGAGACAGTTAATATTATATTATTTTGAAAAGACCGTACAAAACCAGCCAAACAGAGTTGCCTGATGATTTATTTTATAATCTTAACGAAGGATACCATGGCATGGTTAACTTTCCATCAATATTGATTTGGCATTTGTACTATATAAATCTTTTAATCAACGGCTTCGCGGCACATTCAACTAAAACATTCAGCCCCACGTATTTGTTTAAACATATTGTATCATTAATCAATCAAAACCACCTAATCACTTTTGTATATTGTTCACCTCAATCCACTATCCTTTAAAAAATGATTCATTAATTATATGACTATGTCTAATATCCGAAAAAAAATAGGTTAGTCTATTTTAATTTCAGGCCACTTTATCAAATCGAATACGTGGATACATGTAAGAAGTACAACAGGACAAATAATCTCACCATAACGAATGGACTAAATGTGGATATTTGACGTGGAAAAGCTAATTAAACAGTTCACTAAAACATTAACTAATCAATAATTGATGGATCTGGGACTTGTTGGGATTTTTAATGGAAGTTTGGTCTTATTTTAAGAATGTATTCTCTGTTCTATTCCAATCTAGTTAAGGTGTTCTTTTTGATGTCCCCAAGGTCCAAAAACTTAATTTCTCTTCAAACATATGAAACGAAAATTAATGTATGAATTTTGTAGTTTAATCTTGATTACTACTAGCACTAAAATGGCTGACGATATTAATAGCGCAAGATTTGGCATGGAAACCGAATTCTGCCAACTCTGACAAGAATACCCCAATATCAACATATATAGTATATTTAATATGAGGGTTTTTTTTTTTTTGTCACCACCCATCACAAATGGATTAGAAGGTAACAACAGTCCGAAAATTTACATTTATGATCGATGCTCAAGGCAAGTGAACCATGGAAAGTGTGATGAAGGTTGTAAGAACAACATGGAGTTTTTAGTTTCACATAATTCAGCAAATTAACGATATTAATTCAAGCAATGTTTGCAGGATCGTGATCCTACGTAGGATCGAAATAGGGTTATAGGATAGGATCGTGAAGGGAATCGATAGGATCGAAATAATAGGATCGTAAAATTAATTGTACATGTTATATAATCAATTGCTTTAATAATTGAGTTTCAATTATCTTTAAATAAAGTATTTAACATTTAAACAAAAGAATTGTGTAAATACAATTTTCGTATGTGAATTTTTTCATAACTTTTTAATGAAAACTCTTCTTTTATAGTTATTCTTGTCATTTTATTAGAAAACTTTCTAAAATACATTTTTCTCAGCAATAAAAATTTTCTCAATGAATATTAGCCTCAATTGAATGTAGACCAAAAGAAATAAGAGAAAAGAAAAATCTCAATAAGCTCAATTAATTTTTTGTAATTAATGAATAGTAAACTCGATCCGATCCTACGATACTGACCGATCCTGTACGATCCTAACTGATCCACTCCGATCCCACTAAAAAATTCGAGTTTCATTGATCCAAAATCGATTTAGGTACCTGGGATCGTAGGATCGTCCAGGATCGTGAGTTTGTAAACTATGAATTCAAGACAACTTTGGAAACTAAATGTGATTGTAATTGATACTGTTAGAGATCTTGAGAGGAACTAATGAGATGGGAACAATGTTTGCAGGATCGCGATCTTACGTAGGATCGAAATGGGGTCATAGGATCAGATCGTAAACGGGATCGGTAGGATCGGAATAATAGAATCGTAAAATTAACTATACATGTTATATAATTAATTGCTGTAATAATTATGTTTCAATTATCTTTAAATAAAGTATTTAACATTTAAACAAAAAGAATTGTGTAAATTCAATTTTCATATGTGAATTTTTTTCGTAACTTTTTAATGAAAACTCTTCTCTTATAGTTATTCTTTTTATTTGATTAGAAAAACTTTCTAAAATACATTTTTCTTAGCAATAAAAGTTTCATCAATGAATATTAGCCTCAATTGAATGTGGACCAAAAGAAATAAGAGAAACAAAAATTTTCAATAAGCTCAATTAATTTTTTGTAATTAATGAATAGTAAATTCGAACCGATCCTACGATCCTGACCTATCATGTACGATCATAACCAATCTTGATCGATCTCACTCCGATCCCACTGCAAAATTCGAGTTTGATCGATCTAAGATCGATTTAGATAGTTGGGATTGTAGGATCGGATCGCGAGTTTGCAAACTATGGATGGGAAGTCAACTGGCCGGCCGCCGACAAAGGGAAGAGGAGAAGGAAAGCCGGTAACCATTTTCCGGCTGATTATTAATAGGTGTTATTGTATATTTTTTCTTCTATATGTATCGTATGGCATTGACTGTTGCAGTAGTGACTGATCCCGATATGTACTACTAGTATTGATTAAGGTATTTTTGTTGCAAGAAGATTAACTTGATTGTTATACTAATTCTTAATCTGATATAACATCGCTAGCTGGCCTAAGAAGTTGGATTATGACAATTAATTTCATTTGAACTGCTACTCTCGCTGCATTAACCAACTCCACAGTCACCAATGAGTGCATACTCTAAAAAAGTTTGTTGTTTAAACTACTTTACATTCTCTTTTTCATTTTTGTTTTTCTGTATGTGAACAAAAGATAGATCTGTCTAATTATATAATTATCATTACAGCTGTAGCCATCCATGATCAGATCATTAGTTAGTTTACTTAAAAAATGCTCCCTCTCCTTAGCTTTATTCTTATAGTTGCAGCATAGTATATTGTACTAAGGTTCTAATAAGTTCTTCCATTTCTTGGAAGTAGCTAGCTAGGTGGTCTTCGCCCTCACTTTAATCTTTTCACTTTTGTGGACTAATTGCAACTTCATCCATAAGATCATCAACAAAGGTAATTATGCAGTCATTGTTCATTGGTTCCTCCTCCACAAAGCATTCTTTTCCGCCCCTTTTCACCGGCACGGTTGGATTATATTCTTCTTCCTCCTTTCCAGGCAAGTTTTTCGTGCTAATACCTCAATATATATTGCATGATTGTTATTTCTTCTTTGTATTACTCATTTACGTGCTAGTTTGGGTTATTTTGTTTTGACTAATCCGGCTATATATGTAACATATGCGTTCAATGGTGTGCCTTAGGTTTTGATTTGCTAGGGCAGAAATGAGAAATTTACCATCAAGATATAAAAGATGAATCAATGAAAAGATAGTCTTCTTCTAGCTAGCTAGCAGTTACGCAAGAATAGATTTATCACAGGAGTACATTGTGAGAATTGGGCAAAGACAGTTCCAAGTGGCAAAAAGTAGCCAACCACAGGACAGTCTGATTACCCTAAACAACCTTTCTTTCTCTAGTGGGTAAATTAAGATTTTTTTTTTTTTGAGTTTTTGTCATCGGGAAAAATTTCTGTAACACCTTTTGTAAGACTGAAATATTTACTTTATGTGATAAACTGTGAAATACGAAAAAGGGATATTCTAAATAATGTGTTCGACATTTTGCTTTCCCTATATTTATCCAAATCAAAAGGCATAATCATTAATTACTTGATCATTGAATAAAAAAGAGAGGGAGAAATAACGGTGTTTTTTTTTTTTTTTTGGTCTTCTCAACATTGTTACGTTAACTTTTGAACCATTTTGTGATCAATCTATACCTGTCACTACTTTTTATCAAAAGGAAAAAAAACAAAAAACAAAGAGGAAAAGAAATCATCACCAAAAATCACGTACAATTCAGGTGCAGCTAAATACCATGTGATAAAGGGAATAATAAAATTATTACAAATGTGTCTTTATTGTTGTCACCAAATGAATCCCATGTGTTAGTTAACGGAAACACTGAATCTTTACAAGTTTTATTCCTGAATGATTTGGATTAGGTTTTTTCTTCTTTTTTTTTTAAAAAAAAAAAATCAAGTTTTAGTCTCTTGATTGTACCCTGTAGAAGCAAAAGTTTCGAAATGCCAAAAATGGAGGTGGAACAATGCCGATAATAAATTATCAGAACCTATGCGGCTCTCACAAAGGCGACAACTTCTCAGCAAATATGTTGCTCGTCCTTGTTACAAGGGAAATGGTAAAAATTTGGCAAATGCGGGTTCTGGAGACCATTATCATTTTCCAACTGATCAACCCAAGAGCCTAATGGAAACATTTCAAATGAAGTTTGTTGCCTTTTGTGAATTTGCAAGGCTATATTCATTCGTTGGAAGAGTAAGTAGGTCCAAATATATGTAATTAATTACTGTCATACTACACCGTTTCTCTCAAAAAAAAAAGTCAGTTAACAATGAATATTATATTATCAATTTATTTAACAAATAAGACTCTTATTTTTAAGACGGATAATTTTGGGAGAGATTGGATTTAGTCCATCACAGTCCAAATGTCCGCTTGAAAACTCTCACTTTATACATAATGCCATAAAATGTGAATTTTCATTTCTCTTCTCTGTGAGCAGGGATTGAGCATAGTTTCATCATCTTTCCTTGGAATAGAGAAGTTATCAGATATTTCTCTATTGTTTCTTTCTGGGGTATTGAAGGTTTGTTTCAAATTTTTAACAGCCCAAGAAAATTTTCAAATTTTGAGTCGACTTATTATTATGTTATGTTGTGATTCAAGAGCTTAGTTTTGGTGATTTTTCAGGCCATTGTTGCTACTTTCTTCGTGCAGTTATACATCAATAGTATAAATCAGTTGGAAGATATTGAAATTGACAAGGTAAATTGAGTTGTGTTTCATATAACTTTTTGCCTGGATTTTCCCTTATCAATTTTTTAAATAAAATTTAGTGTTATGGTTTTTTCTCATCAGATTAATAAGCCATACCTTCCATTGGCATCTGGAGAATATTCGATTGAGACAGTTAGGATTATCACAGCATCTTCAGCATTAATGGTACAATTTTTATTACTTGTACCAATTACTTTTTATTTTATTACTACTACGTCCTAACAAATTTGAGAATTTTGATAAATTTTCTTTTTTTTTGATAATTTTGTTAAACTAGCCAAATTAAGTAAGTTCCTGTCGTCATCCCACTTCTAGTAGTACATCATCATAATCTAAAATAAAATTAAATTAAATGGCTCCTTACTACTTTCAGAGTAGAAGGGTTAGGAAGCTGAGATATAGACTAGGTTTTTGGAAACTTATCTAGTTAATAGGAGTATTTATTATTTCTTTGTCTCAAAATTATTGTCTAATTAGATTTTCACTTTTAATTTAATTTGTACTAATAGTAAAAATATAAACTGGACAATAGTTTCGGGAGGGAGAGAGTATGTTTCAAATGTCTAGGGTTGTGGTTACATTAGCAAAGTGGGGTTTAATTCTGGATTAATTTGTTCTGGAACCTCACTTGTTTCGTTTCTGTACTTCACAGAGTTTTTGGCTTGCTTGGATGGTGGGATCGTGGCCGTTATTTTCTGCTATTCTAGTCATTTTTGTGTTTGGGACTATATATTCAATTAATGTGAGTTGCTTCATTTGCAAGCTTGAATTTGTGCCTCGCTAGTAAAGCTATATAAATACATGAGATAATTATCTTTGATAATGCATATTACTTCAATCATCGAATATCAAATATTTTGAAATAAATTTGTCCCTCCTAAAATCAAAATCATATATATTAAATAATTCATGAATTTTATTCGACACCATAGCAAGAAATGCAAATAGTTTTTTCTAGCTTCATTCTTTCCACCCTTATATATCTCTTACAGCATTTTAATTTGTTTCATTAATATCTGCATATTAGTTACCTTTTCTGAGGTGGAAGAGATCTGCATTTCTTGCTGCACTTTGTGTCTTCGCCATGGGAGTACCCACGGAGCTTGCGTTTTATTTGCACACACAGGTTCGCTAATTAACATAGATCCTCTTTATTACCTAATTAACGTTACACTTGTGTATAAAAATATATGTGTAATCATTATTATTTGGTATAGCATATTAATTTTGTAATCGCGCACATTGATAATGTTACCCGAGTAAAAATCTTTTAAAGTGGAAAAATGTTTTTGAATACTATTATTTTCTTCGAATAAGTCACGGGGATCTTAATGATAATTCTTGATTACTTTCAAAATTTTTATTTGTACTTCCATCTGAGTCTTAATTAATTAATTGTGTTATATTATTCTTATACTTAGCTTAATCTAATGTTGCAGACTTTTGTGTTTGGACGGCCTGCTTACTTTCCGAAACGGGTAATTTTCACGTTAGCATTCATGTCCATCTTCACAGTTGTTGCAGCTATTTTCAAGGTAAACTTAGCTGAGTTTTCATCTTTCACAACCTCACTGTCCCAAAATATTTAGTGTTTATTTTTTATGGGAGAGTTTTAAACAAAAAAAAAAATTAAAATTCACGTTAATTATTGGGCAAAAATCATAGTACCTAAAGATTATGGTCTCTAGTCGTTTTCTGTGGTGGTCAAATATATATTACTTTGGTTTTGTATATCTACGTACCACATCCACACTAACAAAAGTGAGAGAAATAATAGCTCGAACGAAATTGAGTTGAGATCCATCTTTATCATAGAAGTGTTCATCTCTTTATTAAAAAAAAAAAAAAAAGAAGTGTTCATCTCTTTTATATAGTTAATCAAACTATTTCGTCACCCAAAGATCACTATCATATTTCAATTACATGAAATGTGTTTGGTATTCACTTTTTAATAAATAATTAATTACAAATCCCTCCATGATAAAAAAAAAAAAGATTATAGAATTATTAATATTGAGTTAAAATTCCTTGAATACGTAGTACTTTAGTTTTAGGTAAATTTCTATAATATTCTTTTATAAGTATATAATTTACCCATAATTTAAATGTTTGCCCCTAATTAACGTGTCCCTAAAAACGTACATAGATCACAATATTAGCCGGACCTTATTCTGTTCTATATTTTTCTTCTTCTAATTATCATCCTGTAATTTTATTCAAATAAAATTTTATTTCACAGGATATTCCTGACGTTGATGGAGACAAGATACATGGTGTTCGATCTTTTGCAGTCCAGTTTGGTAAAGAAAAGGTAAATTATGCTACTGTAAAAATTATTTTTCCATCTTCACGAGTTCTTTTTATCCTCCCAATTGTATTACTTCTTTTTTACTTCTTTTTTATTCGCAGGTGTTTTCTATTTGCTTCGTGCTTTTTCAAATTATTTATGTTGTTGCTATTTTAGTTGGTTTGACATCTTCCCAGAAATGGAGCAAATTCATTACGGTTAGGCTTTCTTCTTACTTTTCCCCTTCATCATCAATTATATATATATATGGAATATCTCTAAGCACCAGAAATTATACGCTGCACTTAATGGCGTGTGATATTCACGCGCTATTGTGCAGCGTGAAACTTGCATCTGCGCGCCCAATACGCAAAATTTTGTTTTTTTAAAACAATTTTTTTATTAAGTTTTTGGATATTAAAATTTTTTTAATCTTCAAATGATTTTATTTCATAATCTGTAAACAATTAGACCAAGTGTCTTATATTATTTTGCTAGTAGTTGATAAGATCTATCCAACAAGAATTAGACCTTTGTCTTCGTAAAAGGCACTCTGGTCTTACTTGTTGCTCCTAAGTGTTTTGTGCAAATAGTTGGTCTTTTTATTTGTTGCTATAGGTCTTGATTTTTATGTATTTCCTTTGATCTTCCTGAAATACACAATGGTCATGCTTGTTTGTGCCGTAACACGATTAACCTTATAAATTTTTTTAAAACAATTAGACTACAAGACCCTAGCCTAAGTAGTTTAAAAAAATTTAAACCAAGAAACAAAAATAGTATGTATAGGGTTTAGGGGGGTTTGACCATTTCCGTGTCGGTTAGGGTCTAGTTGTTTAGGGTTTAGGGTTTAGGGGGTTTAAGCATTTCAGTGTCGGTTAGGCCTAGTTTATGCCGTAACACGATTAACCTTATAAATTTTTTTAAACCAAGACCCTAGCCTAATTGGTTTGAAAAATTTAAAGCAAGAAAAAAAAATAGTATGTTTAGGGTTTAGGGGGGTTTGACCATTTCCGTGTCGGTTAGGGTCTTGTTAGTTTGGGTTTAGGGTTTAGGGGGTTTAAGTATTTTCGTGTCGGTTAGGGCTTAGTTTGTACCATAATACGATTAACCTTATAAATTTTTTTAAACCATTTAGGCTAGTATTTACGAGACCCTAGCCTAATTGGTTTAAAAAAATTTAAACGAAGAAAAAAAAATTAGTATGTTTAGGGTTTAGTGGGGTTTGTGCATTTCCGTGTCGGTTAGGGTCTAGTTATTTAGAGTTTAGGGTTTAGGGGGGTTTAAGCATTTCCGTGTCGGTTAGGACCTAATTTGTGCCGTAACACAGATAACCTTACATATTTCTTTTAAACCAATTAGGACCCTAGGCTAATTGGTTTAAAAAAATTTAAACCAAGAAAAAAAATAGTATGTTTAGGGTTTAGGGGGGTTTGAGCATTTTCGTGTCGGTTAGGGTCTAGTTGGTTAGGGTTTAGAGTTTAGGGGGCTTTAAGAATTTCCGTGTCGGTTAGGACCTAGTTTGTGCCGCAACGCAATTAACCTTATAAATTTTTTAAAACTAATTAGGTTAGGGTCTCGTAATTGGTTTAAAAAAATTTAAACCAAGAAAAAAAATAGTATGTTTAGGGTTTAGGGGGGTTTGAGCATTTCCGTGTCGATTAGGGTCTAGTTGTTTAGGGTTTAGGGTTTAGGGGGGTTTAAGCATCTCCGCGTCGGTTAGGGCCTAGTTTGTGCCGTAACACGATTAACCTTATAAATTTTTTTAAACCAATTAACATTGGTCTTTGGTCTTTGGTCTCTGGTCTTTGGACTCAAGTCTTTGGCTTTCGGTCTTTGGTCTCTTGTCTTTGATCTTTGGTCTTTGGTCGTTGGCCTTCGATTTTTGGTCTTTGGTGATCTTTGATATTTGGTCTTTGGCCTTTGCTCCTCACACAACGCTCGCTCTTTCACTTTGGTTTTTGGTCTTCGGTTTTTGCTCTTTGGTCTTCGGTTTCTTGGTCTTTGGTCTTTGGTTTTTTGTTGTTGTTCCTCACACACACTCGCTCTTTACTCTGGTCTTTAATCTTTGCTCTTTGGTATTCAATTTTGGTCTTTGGCCTTTAGTCTTTTTCTGTAGGTCTTGGTCCTAAAAGACATAATAAGACCAGAATGTCTTTTAGTAAGACCAAGACTACTGCATAAATTTTTTTTATGTTTCAAAACTTATATTCATGATGGATCTTGTTGGATAGATCTCATCGAATACTATCAAAATTATATAAGACATTTGATGTGATTCTTTACGGATTGAGAGAAAAAATCATTTGAAGATTAAAAAAAATTTGAAACCATTTCTTAAAAATGAGAAAAAGTAGTGCGTGTGTTTCGCCTTTTCAAAAAAACAAATTTTTTTTGAAAAAAAAAAAGCCAACTTAGAGGCGCGTGTCTTCATGTTACCTACACTTGATGCTTATAATAAAATAACTCTCTAAGCACTAAGTTGGAACTTTCTTTTCACATACATCTTTGTTTATTTTCATTTTTAAAATTTTTGGGTTTATTAGGAGTTTCTATTTGAATACAATTCTGTTCAATTTATTTCGTGTAGTCTACAAACTATACAAAGTGAGGATAAATTGTTAGCTGATAATTTGTTTGAGAAAATACAAATCATGTATGGATATTAATTTCTTCTTGTTTTTAAGGTTCAAGAAGATTTACAGATTGGGAAAATAATGACCGATCATTAATTCACTAAAGTAGTAGTTTAAACAATTTAGGGTTTAAACTATAGCTTGAAAATCCAGCATTTTCAAAATGCATTTCTTATGTCAATTTACTGACAAAAAGTAAGGGCATTTTGTGAAACTAAAGAACCCATGCAATATGTTCAATTAAAACTTGTGATTACTGACTTAAATAAAAAAAAAGTTTAAAAAAATATTGTAATAACGTTGAACAATAAATAGCGTGATTGAATAAGGCATAAATATTTCTAACAAATTTGCAGGTTGCTAGTCACATATGTTTAGCTTTGATACATTGGAGTCGTGCGAAATCTGTTGACCTGGGAAACAAAACATCGGTTACATCCTTTTACATGTTCATATGGAAGGTAATACATTTTTCTTTTTAATTTTTTTTTATTTGGGTTTAGGATCACTTGGAATAAATTTATCCATTTTTTCAATTTTTTTTTCTCCCTTCTAAAGTGTGCCTATCTAAAGTGCGGTATCTGAACAAAAGATTTTTTACTATGAAGGCATTTAGGCCCCAAGTTTTGAACTAAATAAAATCCAATTTTTCCCGGGGAATACTAGAATCGCACTAAATACACATCCAGTTTCTAGTAAAACGTAATAACTAAAAAGTGTATTTTCTCCTTTCCAGAAAAATAGTTTATACTATTATTATGTTATTTTATTTTGAATACAATTTACAAATTTGAATTATTTTTTATAGATAGTGAATAGTGTACAACAAAGGTTACAAAATAAAACTTTACTGACATACAATTAGATCTCTTAATAAAAATATTTAGAAAAAAATGTAGATTTTTTTATTTTTCTTTATCCGTCTCAGAAAAATAATCTATATTTTTATATTGGTTTCAATTTGAAATAAAGAACTATTTGAGGATGAGCAGGTTTGAACTTCTTTCTTTTTACTTCAGCATTGTGAAGAAATGAACTAATCCTTTCTTCCTTTTTTTTTTTTTGTTTTTGTTTTTTTGGACCTTTTGAGAAATGACCACTACCATTTGGTTATTGGTTGCTTAATGCTTTCTATCCTTCTTTTTTAATCCCTCTCTGTCACCATTTTATCCTTCCAAAGACATCATTTTGCCTTTGAACTTACTATCAACGTTTTAAATGCTTTAACAAAAATTAATTTTTGATAGCTTCTCCGTGCATTTGCTGCAGCTCCTCTATGCCGAGTCCTTCCTGGTGCCGCTGATAAGGTAGCATGACGGATATTTCTCGACATGCCGGTTGACTCTCCACCTTGATAAGCTGCTTTAAATGTTTGTTACACAGATGCCTGTACCTTGTAGTACTACAATTGAAATGATTCTGCTGTTTCTCAAAATGTTAATTTGAGACATCATTTATTGAAAGAAAGGGATGAGAATTCAACAGATACATCGTTTACAGTTGCATTTCATACTGCTCCGCTATGTCATTTGCTTTATTAACTTCAATACTGTTACCCTAAAATAAAAAAAAAGACAAAACTCCGATACAGTTATGAAATCCTACCCTTCCCCTTTCTTCCCTCCCCCGCGCCCGGCCCGATCTCACTCAACCTACCCCTTATAATACAAAATTTCACGACTCGACAGCTTCCAGTTCCAGCTTACATTTGCAGGTAAAGCCGGGCTCAAACTACACTACAGTCTGATCATTAATTTCCATCTAAATCCCTGAGCCAGCAAGCTGGGAAAAAAAATTGAAATTGTGAATTCAGTCATTCATGCAGCTAGCACAAGTTATTACTTACAGTATGCAGCATTCATTTACTTCGACCAAGGAGAAAAACAATACAGTTACCACAACAGCATAAAAAGAAGTAGATCTCATCTCAGCAAACTGTCCAGGCCTAGAATCATGTATCTAATTGAGAACATTTTAAAAAATTATCATATAACTCAGTCACAGCAGAAACTTGTCGTATACAAAAGTTGAAAGGAGCTTCCATTTCCTCAAATTCACGAAAATAAGCAGATACAAACAAATCAACTCAATAAAAAGAAAAGGAATAGCTTACCTTGGCCCTGTTATAGTCACCACCATGCAGGAACCACCACGGACTCTCCCTTGACATTATTCTGAAAGGCAGAAACATTAGCCACGACCATAAGAGAAAGGAAACCGAACATTTTAACAATTATATGTGTACATCACTAACAACCAAAAAATTGCTACTCGATAGAACAGTTTAACCTGAAAAATCCAGCCACCATGCGCAATGCCATGAAAAGAGTTAAGCCTGACCAAACACCAGGAAGACCATATCTTGAAGGAGCATATAACAAGACCACAGACGAGATGGCCCCAACCAGCATCTATTATCATAAGAAAAACTCAAATCAAATATTATTCTGTTTAAAAGTTCATTTACTAGTATGCAAAAGGTTAAAATTTGGCATACCATAGAGCATGCAGCATAAGGGAAGTCCGAAACACCATAATGGAGGCCATCAAAAATAAAAGCCAATGCATTTATAGGCTGACTGGCACTGACAAACTGCACAATTTTTCTAGAATTTAGCAACTAAAGTAAAAGTCATAAATCCAAACTAATAAGATGAAGTGCTGCACTATAAGAAACATACAAGTACACCCGTCGCAACAATTTTCAGCACTTCGGCATCTTTTGTGAAGAAAGTTGATAAAGAGTTGAATGAGAGACTCAAAACAACAGCTAAAGAAACTCCAGCGAATATTCCAATCTGAAAACAAAGAAATCTGTCAGCATTATGAGTAAAACAGAAATTAATTCTGAATGATTGATTCCAATGAGAAGAATGCCAAAATCAGGTGAAATGGCAAACTACCTTCAGTACAAATTGTGTAACTTCCTTTACAGTTGTGTACTTGCCTTTTGAATAATAACTGGCAATCAAGGCCTGGTCAAAAGTAAAATCATTGTCAGTCAAAACATAGCTGTCTATTTCAAAATTGCTATATCCAGCATTTTCAGACTGCCACCATTTCAATTTTTATCAACCTTTAATTAAAAAACAGGGGAAAACTACACCCAAAAAAGATATACCTGAGAAGATGCTGCTAGCGCATCTGCAATAAGGGATACTGCCAACCATACTTGGAAGCATATTTGATGAGCAGCCATAGCCACAGGACCTTGACGGGCAGCCATTGAAGCAGCCAGTGTCATGGTTGTAAGGACAGCAAGAGTTCTCCCAATAAGGAAACCACCTGAAGAAACAATTAGGTACCGTCAAAAAGAAAGTAAATTCAAATGGCTTTCACGAATTGTAACCTGTTTGTCAGTGAACAGTGATGCAGTTGCACTTGTCTTCACTTACCAGATTTAAGATAGCAACCAAACTGCAATTCTCCAAATTTAGGTGGCAGTAGGACAGTTCTCTTACTCAGGCAATAAATCATTGAAAAGGCCACTAGATACCTGTTTACATTAGAGATAATACAGTTCAAACTTTAGTGAAAACCTTAAAGAAACCCTAGAATGATACAAAACAAGCACTTAAACAATAAAGAAAAACCATCTAGAAAGATGAAACAGAACCTTCTGAGACGGAACTTACTGAGATATAACCGTTGAGATTGCTGCTCCAGCTACCCCCAATCGGCAATAATTCATAAGCAACGGAAACAAAATTATTGCTGTAAAATTACCAAAGCCTGTATCCAAGAAAAGCAAAATATATATCTGAATATAATTACATAATCATTCTCAAATTAACCCTGTCACATAAAAAAGGGAAAGGAAACAGGACAGAATGCTTGCCTAAACAATATAATGGCGTTTTTGTATCCTTGAAGCCTCGTAAAATGCCTTGAAGAGCTAAAGAAACAACAAAAGCAGGAGCACCAAATGCTCTCAGACAAAGAAACTGTCTCGCTGTAGTATGCATGGGAGAAGCCTGGCAATAACTTGTTCAGTGATCATGCCAATGACTACACGTTGAATGTATACAGCTATAACCAAATGAAGAGTACAGAATACAGAGTGTATAAAAAGCCTTCCCATGCGGAAAAAGGATCAAAAGATAGTAGGTTATTGAGTCTTAAGAGCAGTTTGAGGAGATAATCCAAATAAAATTTGTTATCTTACTGAGCCAAAAAGGTTATATTGTTTCTCAAGGATCAGTTTTAGCAAGGGGCTTGATTCACAAAGTTGTCGAGCAAGCTTCCAGGCCAAAGGCAACCCTAGTTATTTATATTGATATGAAACTATTAAAGAATTATGCCTATGACAATTAGAATGACCAGGACCTCCTAGAAGAAGCCAACATAAAACCAACCAAAATAGCACCCTGTTCTTGACAACTGAACAATGTCTAAGGGCATCCATAAATATTTAATCGCCCACACTGGCTCCATGAATTAGTAGTAACTCAACTCCAGCTTGAATATGCATTCACAGCTATGAATCAATTGAAGTGAGTACAAATTTTAGCATGGCAAGAATAACCAGATGAGATAAACATAAAAATATACCGATGGTACGCCCATAGCATTTAGAAGGAATCCAGATCCCAAATGCAATGCTAAGGCTTCAAATATGCCAATGGCAATAGCTAATGTCAAAGCCGTAGAAACAGAAGATAACTGCGGCCTTTCCCCCAGACCATCAACTATAGAACCATGGGTGCTTCCTGTAAATCCAGAGAATTTTGGTAAGCAATATGACAATATGGTCCCAGGGAAGGGGGAAAAAAAAACAAAAAACAAAAAAGGATATTCATCTGATGTCAAGTATACAGGGAGATATATTTTGCACTCTACCAGTCACGGAAACGTGCCCCGTACTCTTTGCAATATCTTCAGCCACAAAAGAAGTGGCAACACCAAGGAGAGGAATATTGAATAACTTCGAGATATTGTTAAAGAGTGTCATGGAGACGCCAGTTGAAGCCAACTCCAGCGAACCTATCAAACACAAAATTTACCAAAAATGTTTGGTATGTATAATGCAGACACACTCAAACATTTTACGTGTCTTCGGCTATATGAAGGATTTAACTGTCTACTGAAGCATAAAATATACTCATACGTACCCAATCGGCCAATATAAGAAGTCTCCATAAGTAGTGCCAAAGGGTCAATCACCTGCCCGAGAAGCGCAGGCACCGAAAGTGTTATAAGTTCACGCCTAATGTCCTGGAGTTCAGATGAATATGGTGGAGGAATCTTTTCCAACTCATTTTCAATCTTATCAGTCCTGGAAACCATCCCATTTAACTGTTAAGAGGGTTCACAAATGTACAACAACGTAACTCGTAGATTGCCGCTTAACAAGTACTCACAATTACATAAAGCACAAAATAAGAGCATCCCATCCCTGCCAAATTGTAAGGGGATCTCTAAAGGAACCAAACATCCTACACATTAAACAAGTATAATTAACTATTCCGATGAGGAAGAATGCAACGATCTTTCTCCTTCTTACTGCTCAGGGATCATCATAAAAGGAATATATTTTCTTACTACACTACACTCAAATATTACATATTAAGCCTCAATTTTCAACAACTTTCTGCTAAAAAAAGTAAATGATAGATTTTGGTACCTTGTATAAAAGAACAGAATATCAGCAACAGCATGCAAATGCAACCAAAACTGAACCCAAAATCAAGTACTGTACTAAACAACAAGCACCTTACACGGGATGCATAAATTCAACAACTTAAAATGTGGATAAAGAGCCCAGTAAACACATTCAGTTATTTACAAGGAAAAGATCAGTCAAGCCTAAATAAGAATTGTTGGCCTTACGTATGGTGTCCATTAGATATGCTCTCCTCCTTCCTATTCCCATCATCAACATCTTGAGACTGATGAAGCGGCTGAAAATCTGAATTGAGTCCTCCTTTGTCAGTCCCAGAAGAAGAAGAGAGAAAACAGTTAGTTCTGTTGATGAAGGGCTTCTTCTTCTTGACTGAATAACCCCGAGATGATAAAGAGGACCACCTTGTTTGGGAATTATGGAGTGCTCCAGGAGGAAGAAAATTGACAACCCTTTTGGCATTAAAATGGACAGGAAATGTAAATTCCTTAAACAAACCCGAATTCCTTCTCCTACTCAATCCCGCTTTAATCATTAACCCTCCTCCTCCCCCTCCTCCTCCTACTGCAGTAGCGGCAGCAGCGGCAGCAGCCATTTCGGTGTGGTATATTTGAAAAAAGGAAGGAACGAATACCCCTTAAAGCGACAATACGATATCAGTAGAGGATTGATGAGAATTCAGGGAAGAAACCCACCAAAGAAGAGTGCTAATATTCGGTTTCTGGCAAAGGAAGAAGAAGAAGAAGAAGAAGAAGAGGCGGCAAAGGCAAAATGAATAAAAAAAATCAATCTTGGAAGAGTCGTCAGCATGTAATGGGGAGTGACGAGTGAAGACTAAACCAGAACTGAGCAAACCGATGGGTCGTTCGGCCAAAAAAAATTTCAAAGAATTGATGCGGAAAAAAAAATTTTACTTTTGTTTTTTTAAATATAAATAGTTGTCTCGGATTTGGCAAATCCCAGAGCTTAATTAAACGTGTTTTGGATTTGCCAAATGCGAAACAATTAAATATAATAAAAAATGATTTTTTATTCCTTATTTCACAAAAAACGGAAAATAGGGTCAATAGGTGAACAATTACCTCGGATTTGCGAAATCCCGAAGCCTTAAAATTTAATATTCAAAAAATGTAACAAAAATGGCGGGCAAATTCAAAAATTAAAACAGTGAACTCGGATTTACCAAATCCGAGTTCTAGGGTTTAGGGTTTAGGGTATAGGGTTTAGGGTATAGGGTTATCGCTCGGATTTGCCAATCCAAGGGAATCTTTTCCATTTAGAGGCAATCATTTCTTGTGAATAAGGTTGTTGGATGTATTAAATCGGATCGAATAAGGTGACGGACATTCGGATTTGCCAAATCCGAAAGATATGTTATATAAAAAGAAAAAATTGCACTTTCCCTTCATATCGGGTTTTTAAATTTTTGAGGGTTAGGGAAGGTTGTGGCCGGAGTTATTCAGGTTTTTGGACGCACATTACCGCTAAATGCAACAAGAATCGTTATTCTAACGAGGTTAGTCATTAAATCAATGTTTTTTTTAGTTGTTTTGTTGTGTATTTATATTGTTTTTGAAGATGGAAGATTGGTAGGGCTTAGGATTGATGATTGTGAATGTAATATGGTAATGTAGATGTTGTTTTGAGTTTATAAGTTAGGATTGTTGTTGTTTTAAGAATTGATAGAGGTTAATTTAATGAATTTGGATGGATTTTGTTTGTATGGATAATTGATAGGTTTTAGGCATAATTTGTATGGATAATTTATTGAGAATTGTTGTTCTTGTTTTTTTAGGCGAGAATTGTTGTTATTTTTTTTAGGTGAGAATACGATTAATGTAGTTAACGATTTTTTTTGTCCCTTAATAAACAGTTAAAATGTATACGCACGGGCTATACATACTTAATTTGTTTCATAGCAGCAAGTATGTGATAGAGAATAGTGTAGTGAACACATTTGAGAACAAGCCAGACGACACTCTTGTTATCGATAGTAGGTTGTCATATGATGAGTTGTTTGGTTTGATTTGTATGACGTCCGTTTGGATTCTTGAAATAGCTACGAAACTCCACATTTCGTTAATATTTGTGACTCACCGTGTAAGGCGCACCATAAAGATAAAGAATGATTCACATGTTGGGATCATCTATCACCTCGAGCCAATGACAATTGTGGATTTGTACATAGAGACGGAGGATATCACTAACCAAGAAGATGGGAACAATCATTATGGTTGATCTTTCTTTGCACAAGATGATCACATGGATGAGGGTGAACAAGATGGTCCAAGGTAAGAACAAGCAAGTACTTCACGCGTTCATGAAGAAAATGGTGGAAGTTTATTTGCACAAGAAGATCACACGGATGATGATAATTCCGACTACGTAGCTCCAAGCGAAAGCTCGGAAGCACGATATCCTAGTATGATGAGGAAAGTGATGTGAAGAATTGATGAATGAAGAAAGGGAACTAAATCCATTTTTCCGGCACTATGTATATAAGAAAATGGGTGAATGGAATGTCTCGCGTGTTTACAAGATTGATCTTGATATAAAAATGTGGGACGAGACTTCCGAAGGGATGGGCATTAAAGTTTGTTTCAAGTCTCAAGGAGAAGCGAAACATGCTGTGAAGTTGTGGAACATCTACAATAAAAGGAAATTAAAGGTTATCGCGAGTAACAATAAGACGTGGGGGATTCGATGTAGAACATTAGATTCTTCCCTCCCCCCCCCCTCAAGATAGCGAACCCATATACAAATGGAAGATCCACGTGTCACTAGGAAAGCATGGCTTGCATCAAATAGTGAAATGACATTGCGCATACAATTGCATGAGGGTGGTTAACAATAATGACAACCGTTGTGCGGACTCGGAGTTTATTGCTAGGCTAATCATAAGAAAGGTTGCGAACAACGTGGATTACATGGTAAAATCGATGCAGAAAGATGTGAAGGAGTTGGTAGAAGTTGATGTCCCCTACAAAACGGCGTGGAACAGGAAGAGGAAAGTCATAGAGGCGGTTTACGGCGATTGGTCCTCCAATTTTGAAGATCTTCCTAGATAAAATTCAATTTTGATAAATGTAAATTAATTTATTATAGTTTTTACTTGTATTGGCATATATTAACTCGGGCAAACTTGATGTGTAGGTATATTGAAGCACTTAAGAGTACTAATCCCAAAACTATAGTGGAATGGGAATGGAAGGAGGGGTAAGAAGCTTGGAATATGGGAAGTAAGACTTTTAAATACATTTTTTGGTCATTTGCACCAATGGCTACGACTTTCCTTGAATGTCTGCCGGTGATTTCTGTTGATGGAACACACCCACGTGGGGGATACAAGGGTAAGTTGCTAGTTGCTGTGGTGTATACCGCAAACAAACACATTTTACCGGTTGCATTCGACATGGTTGATGAAGAGACAACTGAAAGTTGGGCATTTTTCATGAAATACTTGAGGTATCATGTTGTGAGTGACACCAAAGTTAGTATGATTTTCGATTGGAATGCTGGGCTTTTGAGGGCAATGTCGAAAATACTAGAATGGAGCAATTTAGCTGATGGGACCCACATGTATTCCCTCCGTCACGTTCGAAGCAATCTATTGCCGAAGTATAGGAGTGCGAGAGTGAAGCGATTATGCCAAAATATGGGGAAGACGCTTAATATGGAAAAATTCAATCGATTGAGGCTAGAGCTCTCCAAATTCAAACCTGAAGCATGGGAGTATCTTCATGACATAGGGGGGTATAACTGGACTCGTTTGAAAGCCGGACGTCGTCGTTTGGGCATTACAACTACCAACATTTCTGAGAGTTAGGATAATGCCCTAAAAGGAATCTGGTTCTTGCCTACTAGAGCTATGATCGATGCTACATTCCACAAAATCGTGAAATTTTACCGAGCCGAATTGTTATTTGCGACGAGTTGTGATACACCCATCCCCCCGAGCTATGGAAAGTCTACGAAGATAAGAACAACAAAGCCGCCAGCTATGATGCTGAACCGTTCGATGGCGACGATGATAGTTGGGAGGTGGTAACTCTGACACGGCCTAGTGGGAGGGGTGGGACGGTGCATACGGTCACCTATAACGCCAAAAAGTGTTCGTGCAAGAAATGACAAGAGTACTGGATGCCGTATACGCACGCACTTGCCGTCGCACGTAAAAAAGGTGATCGGCATGTTTCTCTATACCATAAGTGTTGGAGGCATCAAATTAGGATCAAATAATTCGAATACAATGGTTTTTTAACGGTGCCTGATGAGTGACAATGGCCCATGGTTGATTGGAAACTCTATCCGAATTACGAGAATCTCGTGCAAAATGACGGTCCGGGCTGACACCAAAGAAGGCTACACAAGATGCAAATGAATTACCGTGCTCGGCGAACAAGTGGTGCTTGTTGGAGATGCGGAGGAGCTCACGATCCTAATTCGTGTCCACACTCGCATCCCCAAGTAGATATAACACCTTTGGTGGAAGATTGGGAGCATTAAAGTGATTAGTTTGTTGTTATATTTTGTAGAACACCTTATTATGTAGTGTTATCTCTTGGATTGAATGTTAAATTTGTATCTTGTTTGATGTTTGTATTGAACTATTATCATAGATTATAGTGTGGTGAAAGTTATTGGATGTTTACAGGTTTTGGAAATCGGTAAAGCAAAATTCACCGTTTAAATATTGGGTAACTCTCGGATTTGCCAAATCCGAACCTTACTATTTCGTATACGAATCGGATTTGGCAAATCCGAGTCTGCTTTGTTTCTCTATCTTTTTGATGTCAAGAAGACTCGGATTGTGAAATCCAAAAGCCACTGTTAGAAGACCTCTCGAATTTGACAAATCCGAGTTTGCTCGTTTCTCTGATATCGGATTTGGCAAATACGAGACTTCTTCCAAAGGTGGTCTCTCGAATTTGCTAAATCCGAGTCTGTCGGGGGTATAAAACGTGTTGACCTTCTTCCCTACCACCGCCGTGACACCTACCTCCTCCACCACGGAAATTTGCTACTCCCGGTCAAATCCACTCCGCCGCCGCCATTCCCCCATCACCGCCGATCTCCACCACTCCCTCCGCCACCCTTCTCGACTATAAAACACCCCCACCACCTCTGTGAACACCACCGCCGCGACACCGCCGGTCTCCACCACTCCCTCCGCCTCCCTCCTACTAAGGTAACAACCTGAACTCTTCAATTGTGGCAATTTTATTTTGCTCTAATTTTTTTCCCAAATTAATTTTGCCCTACTTTAATTGCTCTTAATTTTTTTGTAATTGTTGCTCCCTAATTGTTGCCTACTTAGTATGTATTTGTAATTGTTATTGTGCATTCGTTTTATTTATTTGTGGGTGGTTATTTTTTTTTCTCCCTAATATGTTGGAGTTTGTAAATCCGAGAGTATGTATATATAGTAGATATAGTGTTGTTTATTGTGTTTTTTTGTTGGAATTGTTTAAATTGTTGAAATTAAACGGGCTTATTTTATAGTTGTAATTATGTTTGTTGAGTTTAGGATGTAATTGGTTTGTTTAAATAGTGTTGTTAAAGAGGTATAGTATATATAGTGTTGTTTAAGTGGTT